TAATCGCTCCTTCGTGTTTCTCAAGAAGCTCACGGATGGCTTGCATTGCGGAGTCGTTCGACACGTTAGTGTAAAGAGCGAAACCGCCGAAACGTCAGCAATTGTGTTCTAATAAATTCTATATTAACAACCTCGTGTCTGCTTATTGAAGAAAAACATTGAATTATCAATTAATGCCGAGGTTAACAGAAAGTCGGTCATGGGATGCTAGGATTATTCTGTTTCACACAACTAAGGGAGAGGATCTAAAGCCCCAACCTGCGTCAACGATCAAAACTCGAAGATGCCGTCATGTACGCCAAACAGTCGAAAATAAGATGGGCCGGACACGTAATGAGTATGAATGACAACCGATGGACAAGAGCCGTTAGTGACTGGGATTCCTCGGCATGTCAAACGTATTGCAGGAAGACCACCGACCCGATGGTCAGAGTTTTTCACATAGAGCCTTGAAGAAAGATATGATGCTCGACGAGTCCCTAGAGCTAGCAGAACTAACTGGGCCACTCTTGTACGCGGAAGATTAAAATTGAAGATATACTGGCTCCCGCACGACCTAGATCCTCGATGCTCTTGAAAGCTCCCCAGGCCGCTTGTTTCCTTCTGCTCAGCTCTGGAGCTAAGTCGCTCACCATATTCATTTCCCGACCTAGATATTTATAACTGGAGCATTCGGAGATATTCGTTCCATTGATCGTGAATGGGGCATACGAAACCGTTCCGTTCCTCATAAACATCGTTTATGTGAGATTTACTCGAAGACCAATTTTCCACAGGCTTTATCAAAGTCGGCAAGCATACGTTCCGCTTGCCTAATGTTTGGTCTTATAAGGACGATGTCATCAGCAAAGCGAAGATGGTGTAACTGCCGACCAACGATTTTCACTCCCATATTAACCCATTCCAATGTTCGCACGACGTTGTGGAAGGTGGCGGCGGTAAAAGAAGGCGGCAAATAATTTTGGATCTTTATGCACTGAGTAGGAACTTTTTGACCATCGAGGGCTTCCATGACTGCTTTTATCTAACTTGAGTCAAAGACCTTCTTTAAATCCGTGAAAATGAGACAGAGTGGTCTTTTGTACACTCGCGATAGTTCAACGAGTCTTGTTATCGCGCGGATGTGGTTCATTGCACTAAATTCTTTTCGAAACCCTGCTTGCTCACATGGCTGCCCGTCGTCCAGTGTTCTGCCAATCCTGTTTTGGATAACTCGAGTGAAAAGTTTGCACACGGCAGACAGCAAGCAGATTTGGCTATAGTTGCCGACATCGAGGGGACTCCCTTCTTAAACGTTAGCACGGTTTTGCTGGTTTTCCACTGAGTAAGGACCTTCCATTCAGCCAGGTAACGCATGACGAGCCGAGCCAGTGTGTTTACGAGGACTGGTGGAAGGTTCTTCAGGTGTTTTGATCTTATCCTGTCCGTACCTGGTGCTGTTCGGTATTTCACCGACCAAAGGGTATTTCGGATTTCGGAAAGGAGAACCGGCGGTACAACATATCCACCTACCTTTATTGCATATAACGGAACGTAGACGTGGCTATCGAAGAGATTTGAGTAGTATTCGTAAATGATTTCTTCCATTGTTCTTCTGGACGCTGTAACTGTTCCGTCAGGCGTAGGAATGCAATCATCTTGGCATTGTAATTAGCAAAGCTTCGGTGGACTTTGCCAACGCTTTTCCCATCCTCTGCAGCTTCGACCACTACTGCTGCTCTTTTCTCCTTGAGATCTTCTTTCACCGGCTGCCTGCATTCCTTCGGAAGTTCGTGCGGCTCGCGTGATTCCACGCTGGCGTGTCGGCTCTCGAACTCTGAGCTTTCATGGCGCTAGCGTGAACATTTTGAATGGGTCGATCTTATTCCTCATCGATGTTATCGACAGTGGCATCATCCCAACAGCCGACTAATGAATTGAATTGAGAGCACCAGTTTATGGTGGTTCTGCTCCTTTCTGCGAGAAATAGAATTTTGCAGGAAGGAGACAGGAGGTCTGATCCCGTGAGGAATTTTGGGGCAACAGCGACATCGGTAAGGCAAAACCTCCTATTTATTATGATGTGGTCTTTTTCGTTATGGTACTGTAAGTTGGGAGAGTCCCACGTCCAGCGTCGAGCGAGAGTGGGACTTTAGGAATTCCGAGTTCCTATGGATGGTCTTGGTCGTCATGATGATCTCAGACAGCTGCTCGCCACGCTCGCCCTGTTCTAATCCGTGGTTCTCAATGTGGCCTTTTTCAGACGCTTTTGCTGGCCCAATCTTGGCGCTAAAATCTCCAATGATGACCTTGAAGAATCCATGGTTTTCTCTGTGGAGCTTTTCCAAGTCCATGTACAACGCTTCAACTTCTTCGTCATAGTTTGATGTCGGCGCTAAACGACGAAGATTGTCAAAGCCGTTATTGATCCACATCTTTTTAATCGCAAACGTCCGATTAGGGTTGTTAGTTGTTCGAATGAATCAATGTTCATGGACAAACTCATGTTGACGAGAAAGTCGACGCCGCCGAGTCCTCCATTGTCGCATGTTCCGAGGAACAGTTCTTCTCCAATGTCATAGACGGCGTTGAATTGGTGGCGTCTTCTCGTCTCGGCCAGCCTGATGACGTCATGCCTTTTCCGTCTTGCTTGTTTGAGCAAGTCTTCTATCGCGGACACGGTTGCAAGTTTACGTGCATTGTAGGTACAGATCGTCACCTTAGCTCTTTGCAATCCAGGTAGCTTACACTGGCCCTGAGATTTTAGCAGCCTCTCCGTACTCGTCCTGCTCAATGCTATCGAATGAGGCTTTTTCGGGGTCAGAAAAATGAGACCCGTTTCTTTTACTGTTTTTAGCTTTTTGATACCCACCTATAGCTTACTGGACTCTGAACATGGAGGGTGGGTATACTCACGGGTAGCTAGCCAGGCTCTCCCAGAGTGGACATGGAGCTTATTTGTTGGAGGCGACTCTAACCGCCTCACATATATTTCCTGGTCACTTGTTTGCAGGGTTTTAGCCGAATTGACTCGTAGAATACAATCCGCAAAGCAAGAACGCACCCACACACGCATGCATGAATATGCCTAGCAAATACAGAAAGTGTGTGCCAGATCAGCGCAGCATAAGAAGGAAGTCCATCCCCTGGATCCACCTGCGTCTCAGGGAAGCAAAGGTCGCGTTCGGTCCGCGATGAACTCCTCATCCACTACCACGGGACACGTCACGTAGCTTCGCGACTAACCGGCTATCGGGATCCTTCATATGAGTGAAATTCATGGAACTCATTCCATCCCACTTCATTCCCACTTAATAACTGGAAAAACCGACTTTCTATAAACCTCGGCATGGATAGTTGATTTATTTATTTATGTGATCTTATAAACTGATCTTCTTAAGCTGACGCGAGGTTGGTACAGATCTTCGTTGTCGTTGTCGTTATTTTTGATGTTATTGATCGATGGCTGACGTTTCGGCGACTTCGCCTTCCCCAGAGCCGTGATGTCACGTGCGGGACATCGATCAATAACATCAAAAACAACGACAACGACAACGAAGATCTGTACCAACCTCGCGTCAGCTTAAGAAGATCAGTTTATAAGATCACATAAATAAATATATCAACATTCCCACTTAAATTGTAGAAATTAACCTTTTGCCGGACAAGTCGGGCACCAATTTCTCAACCCTTCATGAATGAGATGCCCCATGTGTCGAGAGAGAAATCGAAGAAGCACCGTACTTGTGATGATCGCAAGATTAGCAAATAGGTATCTTAGCAGCACACGAAATTAGATACTTCGACGATTTCGAACAAAAAAACTGAGAATGTTTGCCAAAATGTCACCGGGTAATCGAATCGATATTTCAGATTCGGATTCCCTTCAACAGCCTGTTACGATGGTCCACTATCAGCGTGTGCTGATCCTGATTCTACTTCATCAACGCTGGTCAGCGCTGGAGCAGTCTACGAAACTACGACACCCGACAGATCTTCAACACCTGCCACAACCAGTAAAGGCCTACCAAGGTGGGAGTGGGTTCTCATGCTAGTTTTGCAATACCTCATGTTTCTACCCTTTACTATATCCTAAGGTCTTCACTGTCTGGCTAAATGAAGATTCAACCACAACGTTGCTGAGATATTTGCAAAAATCTGGACCGCAGGTGTCTATGGTGGGGAACGAACGCGCTATTGTCCTTTCCGGGGAGTAACGCGTTCACCACCACACCATGCGGGTCCTTCGTTTCGCCTGTCTCTCAGCTATTTCTATCGATCTTTTTGCCACCGCAATCACCCGTCAGCGGAGTTAATCTGGGGAGCGCAAATCGGCATAGAACCCAGTTAAGCTATGGCTGCAGTTAAAATCACAATGTTTAAGGTTTTGTTTTCTGCCTTCTATAATTTTCATAGCAGGTTACTAAGCGCTCCCCAGATCAACCCGGCTGACGGGTGATTGCTGTGGCAAAAAGATCGATAGAAATAACTGAGAGACAGGCGAAACGAAGGACCCGCATGGTATGGTGGTGAACGCGTTACTCCCCCGACAGGACAATAGCGCGTTCGTTCCCCACCATAGACACCTGCGGTCCAGAGTTTTGAAAATATCTCAGCAACGTTGTGGTTGTATTTCGCTTAGTAACCTGCCATGAAAATTATAGAAGGCAGGAAACAAAACGTTAAACATAAATGAAGATTGTTGCACATTTTCAGAGTTCCCAAAACAATAAATCACATCACAATATTTTACACTGTCGTTTTATTTTATATTAATTTCTCAAGAGATAGCTCAGCTTTCTAATAAAGCAGAAGAACAGAATTTCACTAAATGAAGGTTTCAAATTTAACTAGACCTTGTCTAGTTAGCATTCTTCTCTTGAGCTATATTCCTTCAATCATCATTGCTTTTTTGAGCACCATCAACGACCCGCCCGTGAAATATCTGAGCGAAAGAATGGAGAGATCGGGTTTATCGTCTTGTGCCGCTAGCGACGAAGAGGAACTTGTCTGTATGTCTCTCCTTTTTCTTTTAGAAAATACACCACTGCATCCAATTTCGGACCGTACGTAAACAGAAATTTCGGATATTCCCTCAGCATTTCGGCCAAAGACAGAAAAGTACGAGAAATTATTTTTAAAAAATCAGAAATGAAAAATATGGAAGGTGCAGAGCATTCCTCCTCCTTCCCGCTTCCCTCCCAATTCCTCCTCTGTGGAGCAGATGACAAAACAATTTGTAGCTTACATATGTGGACGATGCACGGTGTTTTCTTTTAGTGGCTGAACACACTGCCTACCCTATGATCTGTGTGTAACATTTCCTGGATCCTCCAAGATTATACGTTGCAAACCAAATTACACATCTATTATCTCTTCGTATAGTACTAGAAGTTTGAACGTACCTTCCAGTGCTAGTTGAAAAAGCTGTTTCAAATAGTGGAGAACAAAGGGAAAAATGGTACAAAACAGTCACAGTACGACTTTCAGTGATTTGAGGCTAGCGTTTTCTACAGTTTTTTTCAAAAACTCGTCGTCTGAATGACCAATTCAGTCGAAGAATTGCTTACAGTACTGTTATGAAAAAAGGCAATCCAAAAAGACATAAACTTCGTTCATTAATCAAATCAAGAGAAAAATTCATTTCTAATCACAAACTTTCAAACCGATCTCATCTTGCTGTTCTTTCAGCGTCTGACACGTGGAAAAATGTGGAAGACAAATCTGACGTTGAAGAACACACTCTTCCATCTGAGGAATCACCTGCATACGATGAAATCACTGCAAACTTAGAGAGGTTGGTTTATTAACAATGTTTTAGAAAAAACACCTCAATATCGATTGTTGTGATTTCATTCGACGGTTTCCCGTTGTAAAATTGCATGTGACCACATTTCCTTAGAATTTTCTTTCTCTCGTCATGGCTTACCATTAATGTGTTTCCAAGAGATGAAAAACAGTGTAGGGCCAGTATTTGTCTCCAGTAGAATCTCTGAATCCGAGTTTCAGTCAAGGGTAAAACGATGCCAACAACCACAGCCCTGGTCGTAACTTGGTCAAATTGCCAATGAGATGAGAATTTAAGAAAAAAAGTGAAGTTCCTTTGACAATCGAGGAAGATAAAATCTTTCCCAATCATTAAATTACCCTGTTTAATGGAACTCATGCTGGATCCTGCACGAATGGTTTTCATGACATTTAGTCTGTTAAAATAGCGAAGTTGGTAGAACTACCTCGGGTTAGGTTTAAGACAAGTAAATACAGATGTGTTTTAATCTTCTAAGCAAGCTAAACAGTGAACTTTTGTGAAGAGAAACCCGACAACTATTTACAGTTTCTTAACTTCCTCAAAGTGCAACAACATTGCAACTTATTGTTTACGAAACGAAGGCGATAACGCACTACATGCAATAGGAACCAGTTCCCCTTTCATTGCTCAATTAGACAAAACTAGAATGCCACTGATGAGCTTCTAGTACGGCAAGCAGTTTCTTTCACATTAATCAGTGATGTTCGTCCAATTGACATTAATTAACCTCCATTCCAAAGCATCGTTCCAACCGCTTTTTACCTCTGATAAATCCATCATTGTGATTTGTGGGTGCATTCTTCTCTGTTCACGGATCTCTCTCACACGAGGGATCCCAATAGCCGGTTAGTCGCGAGGAAATGTGGCGCACCCCTGGTGGCGGATAGGGGGGTTAACCGCGGACCAAAAACGACGTTTGCTTTCCTGAGACGCAGACGCAGGTTGGTCCAGGAAATGGACTCCTTGCTTCCGCTGCGCCGATTTAGCACATACTTTCTGTATTTACGAGGCGTATTCACTCTGGAAGAGCCTGGCAAGCTACCCGTGAGTATACCCAGCTCCCACGTTCAGAGCCCAGCAAACTATACATTGGTATCAAAAGTGCTAAACACAGTAAAAAAAAAAAAACGGGTCTCATTCCTCTGACCTCGAAAGAGCCCCAATCTCGCAGCGTTGGGTAGGACGAGTACGGAGAGGCTGCTAAAATCTCAGGGTCAATGGAAGCTGCCTGGATCACGAAGAACTATGGCGACGATCTGTACCTACGATGCACGTGCACTTGCATCCGAGCCCTCGATAGAAGACTTTCTCATGCAATCAAGAAAGATAAAGTATGACGTCATTGACCTGGCCGAGACGAAAAGACGCAACCGATTGAACGCCGTCTATGACACCGGAGAAGAACTGTTCCTCGGAACATCCGACAGTGGAGGACTCGGCGGCGTCGGCGTTCTCTTCAACACGAGTTTATCCATGAACATCGATTCATTCGAACAACTAACAACCCGAATTGGACGTTTGCGATTAAAAAGATGTGGATCAATACCGGCTTTGACGATCTTCGTCGTTTAGCGGCGACATCAAACTATGACGAAGAAGAAGTTGAAGCATTGTACATGGACTTGGAAAAGCTCCACAGAGAAAACCATGGGTTCTTCAAGGTTATCATTGAAGAGTTTAGCGCCAAGATTGGGCCAGCAAGAACGTCTGAAAAAGGCCACATTGGGAACCGCGGATTAGAACAGGGCGAGCAGGATGAGCAGCTGTCTGAGATCATCATGATGACCAAGACCATCTATGGCAACTCCCAATTCCAGAAGCGCCTTCGTCAAGGCTGGACGTGAGAGTCTTCCAGTGGAGAGTACCATAACGAAATAGACCATAGTAAATAGAAGGTTTCGCCTGACCGTTGTCGCTGTTGTCCCAAAATTCTCCACGGGATCAGACCATCGCCTCCTTCCTGCAAAATTCTATTTCTCGCCGAAAGGAGAAAAAGCCGCAAAATTCAAAACCGAAGTCCCAGAACCACCATAAACATCGACAAAGAATACTGTCTGTTCATTCAACATCTTCACCTCAGCGCTGTGAAAGCTGAGAGTTCGACCTCCAGAAACACTCTAGCTAATAGACTACGGAATCTCACGAGCTGCAAGCAACCGCGTACTAGCATCCGAACTTCCAAAGCAATGCAGACAGGCGGTGAAAGAAGATCTTAAAGAGCGAAGAGCAGCAGCAATGGTAGAAGCTGCAGAAGCTGGGAGAAGCATTGGCAAAGTCCACCGAAGCTGTGCTAATTACAATGCCAAAATGATTTCACTCCGACGCCCAGACGGAACAGTTATAGCGTCCAGAAGGACAATGGAGAAAATCATCAACGAATACTACTCAAATCTCTTCGATAGCCACGTCAACCCCCCGTCATATTAAATGAAGGAAGATAGATATGTTGCACCACGGGTTCTGTCTTCCGAAATTCGGCATGCCATTTCGTCGGTGAAAAATCGAACAGCAACAGCTCCGGACACGATAACATCAGAAGACCTGAAAAACCTTCCGCAAGTCCTCAGAAACACACTGGCTCGGTTCTTCACACGTTACCTGTCTGAATGCAAGGTCACTACTTAGTGAAAGACAAGGAAGACCGTGTTATTGTTCAAGAACGGTGGCCTGCACGATATCGGCAACTATCGCCCAATCTATTTATTTATGTGATCTTATAAGCCGATCTTCTTAAGCTGACACGGGGTTGGTACAGATCTTCGTTGTCGTTGTCGTTGTCGCTGTTCTTGATGTTATTGACCGATGGCTGACGGTTCGGGGACTTCGCCTTCCGACCCGCACGTAGCATCACGGCTCTGAGGAAGGTAAAGTCGCCGAAACGTCAGCCATCGATCAATAACATCAAAAACAACGACAACGACAACGAAGACCTGTACCAACCTCGCGTCAGCTTAAGAAGATCAGTTTATAAGATCACATAAATAAATATATTCACTATCTATGCCGAGGTTTATAGAAAGTCGGTCTTTCGAGTTATATCGCCCAATCTGCTTACTGTCTGTCGTCTGCAAACTTTTCACTCGAGTCATCCTAAACAGGATTGACAGAACACTAGACGAAGGACAGCTATATGACCAAGCAGGGTTTCGAAAAGGATTTAGTGCGATGGAACACATCCACACGACAACAAGGCTCATTGAAGTATCGCGAGAGTACAAAAGACCGTTCTATCTCACGTTCATCGATTTAAAGAAGGCTTTAAACTCAATTGAGATAGAAGCTGTCATGGAAGCCCTCGTTAGTCAGTGAGTCCTTCCTCACTACATAAAGATTCTTCGTGAGCTGTAAAAAAAATTTCACAATCAAGGTATCACAATTCTACAACGATATTAACATTGACGTTAAAAGAGGAGTTAGGCATGGCGATACCATCTCGCCAAAATTACTTGCCTCCACCCTCCAGAACATCATGCGAACATTGGGTCAATGTGGGAGTGAAAATCAATGGTCAGCAGTTACATCACCTACGCTTTGCTGATGACATCGTCCTTATAAGACCAAACATTAGCCAAGCGAAACGTATGCTTGCCGACTTTGATAAAGCCTGTGGTCTTCGACTAAATGTCACAAAAATGATGTTCATGAGGAACCTATTAGTTTCGTATGCCCAATTCACGCTCGACGAAACGAATATCTCCGAGCGCTCCAGTTATGTCTATCTAGGTCGGAAAATCAACATGTTGAACAACTTAGCTCCAGTGTTGAGCAGAAGGAAATGAGCGGCTTGGGGAGCTTTCAAGAGCATCGATGATGTAGTGAAGAGAAAAAAGAGCACCCGACTCCGCGCCCACCTTTTTGACTCAACGGTACTTCCTGCCTTACCGTGTGCGTCAGAGAGTTGGTCGCTGGGTAAGCAGGATGAAAGATCACTCAGCGTTATCGAAAGTGCAGTCGAAAGGACGATGCTAGGAGTGTCCCGTTTCACAAAGTAAGGGAAGGGATCCGAGGTTCCGACCTGCGTCAACGATTAAAACTCGAAGATGCCGTTCTGTACGCCAAAAAGTCGAAGAAAAGGTGGGTCAGAGACGTGATGCGTATCAACGCCAACCGATGGACAAGAGCCGTTAGTGACTGAATTCTTCGATATGTTAAACGCAATGCGGGAAGTCCACCGACCCAATGGTCAGAGTTCTTCACAAATAGCCTAGAAGGAAGATATGATGCTCGACGGGTCCCTAGAGCGAGCAGAACTAACTGGGCTATTCTTGCGCGCGACACGGAGAAATGGAAGATTTACTGGTGCCTCCTCGAGTCACTCAACGGTCAGTGGGACTACAGGTGGTTTGGTGATACGTGTGATGTCGTTGATTCTTTTCTGAATTACACTTCAGAGAGATTTGTGAAAGGATCTCATATCTATTGCTCTAAAACAGTATATTGTTGCGTAAATAATCATTGTCCACCACCATTCGTCACAGTTCTCTGGAAAATTCCTTCGGTTCTCCACTTTCCAGATTTCCCTAATCCGCAGAATGACAAGCTTCTCAATTTTGCCTTCGATTTAGAATTGATTGACAATATTCTCCCACTAGTAATTTTGTCCATCCAGACAAATGTTTAGTTGAAAGTTGTATGACCATGAAGTTATGGCAGATAATGGTTCTAGATTTTATTACAGCATCACATATTTAACTTCAGTCTCTTCACTTTGATCCTAATATGGACTAGATAGAGAACCTTATAGCTGTTAAATTTTTGCACTTTGTTCTTCATTTAAAAAAAGCAAAGTGATTTGCCCGTTTCCTCATCATATTCTTCACCATTTATGTCACAACAATTTAAGTGATGTGCCGTACCTGAACTTATAAACTAATTTATGTCGGTTTCTGGGGTATCAGCCCAATAATTGGTAGAAATTTCTCTAAACTCTGTAAGTGCTCGCCTTGACAAAAAGTCGATAAGCGATAAGACGTGAAGCGCTCATCAATCCTCCAGGAAAGCATCACGCATTCTTTTTCATCAAGCGTCGTAGAGGTTTTTGAATTTTCAAATCCGCCATGCAAAATGATGGCTGAAGTGGCTTACTGATTTATAAAACGAGTGCTGTTATCCTTACAGACAAGTCTACTAGCAATTGTCCAATCCCTAAGGTACGCAAGGCTTAATGTGTTCGTGGTGCTGGATGGTACCACAGACCGATCTGATGTGTACTGAAAGACACCACGAACCGCCTTGCTAAACGAGCACCGCTCTTATTGACTTTCTTGCCTAATTCGTTCCAAATGAAGTAGAAAATTAGACGAATTCTCGTCGAAACCACAATTACTTTATTTCACGACAGATTCCACACTTCATTACAGATTCGTTGAAGCTCCTGGTAAACGAAACGTGGTGTACAAGTGCTCAATAACGAGAGATAAACGAGGAGTAGATAAAGGCATGTATCCCACATACTATCTACACCTTGAGCGCGAGGATAAGAAAAAGGTGATGAACTAGCTGTTCTCGTACTTAATGTCACACTTTTGAAGAGTTCAATAAAAACGTGACCATTCCAGCTCGGTAAAAGCTTCTACAGAAAACCTTTCACGGAATAGAATTCGCCTCTAAATTTTGCAGAAAATGTTCATTTTCTTCACCAGCTGTACGGATTCCAGCACATTCATCATTCTTTACGCTTTCTCGTCATATGGCCATCAAAAAAGGCGCTCTCATTCCTACGAGGCTTGAACTACTTTTTAGGGAAAAATTAAAGGGAAACGACGGCAAGGCGTAGTGAAACAGTGTTGTCTGATCGACGTGAATCATAACTGATGGATCTTAAATATTCTTGGTTTCGGGAAAATGCAGTGCCGACTTATGGACTTAGAAGTATCTTATAGAACCTCGAATGCTTTATGTGTAGGGCAAGCAAGATTCTTCGTAGCATGTTGTGAAAGCGCTGCTACTATACAATCCCAAAGACGTCTTATGCAGCACGTGATTTGATAACCTTTAACCGATTTTATCTTCATAAGATTCACGTGGTAGGAAGGACCCAGTGCGAAAGGTAGCAACGTTAATGTGGTGTTAAATAAGTGGTTTGAATAAGTTTAAGCAGTTTGATTTTCACTGAAGTCTGGGGGCGTTTCAGTTTCGCTATCACAGATATGCGGGCCTTCTATGGATCAGAGGACGGTAAAGATAATGCCTGAAAATTGTCAACTCATAACTGTTAATTCCTTTTTCATAATGTTTACTTGAAAAAAGAGCTAGTTAATAGATGTAGAAAGCAAAATTCAAATTATGCATTTACACACTAATATCTTTGGAAAACTGAAGAAACTTTTTGATTAAAAGCAAACGACAAAAGTTCGTCCTAGGAGCTAATAGTGGATATGGGAGCCTTTTCGGTGATTTCAAAAGCATCGGTAGTAAGATCTACTCCGTTCTTTTGGTCGTCATGTCAACTTTGCGTGGCCCTTTCAGATTTTCCTTTTGGCTGCACGTCGACGGAAAAAAAGCACTACTGCAAACTACTTGATCTCAACTGATGCTACCGATCTGAAACGGGAAGGAACGGCATTTGTGGGCAAAGTAAGGTATGTGTGTTGAGCTGGACTTACCTACTTTGTTTCATCTATGATTTTTGTGCATTTCTTTCTATAAAGCAATAGAAAGTTAAGTGATGAACGACGTTGTGAATATCAGCAATAGAAGTAGATGAGAGTTCCTTCTTTTTAACATGATCGGGAACCATTTGAAAAATTCTTTCAGGATACTCGAATAACTTGCCTTAACAAATCGTACAGGTTTCACTTAATCCTTCTCTTCACTGGTAATCTGATGACTGATTAAGTGTTTTTCGCGACGAATTAAGATACTTGAATCATGGAGCTCCCTTGCACTCTCACTACGAGAGCTGCTCGGCTTTTATATGACTAACCGATTTACGGCCATATTTCCCTTAACGACGATGGTTTCGCACATAGGCTTAGCCTATAATAGGCTTTAAGGCAATTTACCTCCTATGTAAACACTACGCTACTCCGCGGTACACTGCGCTCGCTAGTCTAACGGAAAAACGGCGTAAAGTACTAGTCAAATGGAAGTTGTACTTGCGACGGTATAACGATAGTACTAAGGACTACCATCTCTGATTTCGTGTATTGAAAACTAATTTAAGACTTTGACAGATTTTCCAACAAGAAACAAGTTCCGTGGCAAATTCTAGTCAATATAGGTCGAACGCGATTGGGACAATGTTCACACTATATGACGGTGGCTTGAATCCAAAAAAGTCAACGATTGCTTCGAACATTCGACAGGAATTAGCTGCTGTCATTTACGTAAGTACAGTGACGCTTTGAATTCGAGTGTCCGATTAGGGTCACGTGTACGGAAATGGTTAAAGGTGCCTGCAATATGCACTCAACAGGTCTCTGGTTCGACACGCTTCCATACTCTTAGCTCACCAAGCCTCCTGTGCCACTAGAGTCAGAAAATTGATACCAGATTAGTCTGGGAGGACAGAAACGCTGACTTGATATCGCCTCAGTGATGCTTTATGAGGTCTAATGTATGGAGCACTGCTTAAGGATTATTAAGTGCTCAACGCTTCATGTTTCTTATCTGTTATGGCGACGCACGTCTGGTTCAATGTTTATTTAAAAAAAAATTTTTTTTGGTTGACTAGGTAAATGAATCTTAAGTGAGTTCATGTCACATAACGTGTGGCGAGACTTTTCGTGTAAATTTTGCCAATTTCCAGCTTTTTTTATTTCTTGCTATTAGAAAGAGTAAACAGGATTCTCATTAGTACATTTTTCAAAAAAAAAAACCAGCTCTGAATACAAAGCTAATAGACAATTCTGAACTTATTATTTACTGCCTACTCTTTTTAATCGCAGGGTACATTACGAAATATAACTTTAATGATGCTGAGTTATTTGCAAAACTCCGGACCCCAGGTGTATGCGATGGGGAACGAATAAGCGCTGTTGTTCTTACCGAGGAGCAGCGCACTTCACCACCACACCATCCGGGTCTTTCGTTTTGCTTGCCTCTCAGCTAGTTCTATCGATCTCTGCTATCAGCAATCCCCCGTCAGCGGGATTGATCTGGGAAGCTCAAATCGGTAACGAACCCAGTTAAGCCGAGGCTGTTGTTATAATCACAATTTTTAACTTTTAATAAACAATGTTATGAAGAAGGTTTTGGAATTCCTCACTGAGACCTTCGTTTTAAAAAATTTCTTTGTGTCGATCAATTAATTTTTTTCTACTGTGAATAACGGAAGACGATCTTCTCAGCAAACGGTTAACTGGTTAATTGTTAGGTTAGCTAACTAAAGGAAGTGAAAGGATAGAACGTTAAGAATAAAGCAATCCCATAGGAATTCACCATGTATTTGACTCCTTTTCAATTATACAATGACATGCGAGAAACATCCACGTAGCAAGTTGGTCTTGCTCTCCTCTAGGAGGAGTATGGAACCAATTTGGCTGCTCCTGAAGGGTTGGGTGCTCGGTTAACTTGGACGCGGGTTCGAACCAAAGACTATCTGTATTACTGAGACACCTCTAAGCATTGCGTTACATGCGACTGTTTGTATGCCGATGACAAGACTTCATATATGTAGATTCTTATTTATTTTTTGCATCTCAGAAATGACATCCTTCAGGAAACAAATGTGCTCGGATTCAAAGGACCGCGTAAGATGCACGTTCTGATACCGGGCATCTACGACATGAGCACCTATGAACGAAAGTCGATTCGTCCAGTTGCTGTAAGTGTTGGGCCTAGTTTTCGTCATTGAATGTTCTAACGTTACTGCTCAGATACAATAGTGTTTAGCAGAAGGACACTCTACTCGAAAGGTATCGTCAACGACGAACTGAAGACATCATTGTGATGCAAAACAAAAGTCCTGTCTGGAACGAAGGTAACATCAATCCAGGACTGTCTTCACAGTTTTCCTTCTTCGTAACTATTGTCTACCGTAACTGAACAGAAATGCATCTCAGTTCTTCGAATAGTTTAAATATTGTACAATTGAAAGTATTTTTAAAATGAAAATTTTTAATAAATATGAAGAATTTTCAGATTTTAAATAAGCCATTTGCAAAGGAATGTGCATCGATGAGCATTTTCAGACGATTTTTGTCACTTCTTTCTATTTTTAGTGTTTAGGTGCGAAAATTTTTCAGATGAAGCACATTTCTTAAAATGTTGCCTTCATGGACTTTTATGATCACCAAGTTAATAATTTGTCACTCTTCTGAAGTCACCTTCACGTGTCGTGCCACTGTCTCGTTACATTTCTATTATGAAAGCACAAAAATTAGAAGTGAACCTGATAATCTTGAAAGTGTTTCGTTTTCAAATATTTGAACACAACCATCGTAAAAGAAAATCACTAACGTCGACTACTTGGCTAAGAAATTGTGAAAAAAATTCATTTCACGACACTTCTATTACAAAGGAACCCTTTGCGTGCATATGTGCCAATGTTAATAGCAAATACTCTTTTTAATAATAGGCGATTTACGATAAAAGGATAAAGCTCTCGGCGTTGATCAATACCTGAGGGATGCACCATGCATTCGACTTCATTAAGTACCGTCGAAGGTGATTGAATGCATAACTGGCCTTTACAGTGACTCGCGGTGGCCTACCGATCTATTGGGCCTACCGATGTAACGGGTTAGTGATTCTATCCTCCCAGACAAGTCTCTGGTACCAATTTGCCGACCTCAGAAGGATGGAAGGCTTGGTGGGCCATGGGAGCGGGTATCGATTCCACGTGTGTGTCGCAGTGGTGGCGCCTCCAACCATTGCGCCCGACACGGTTTACGATATCTAGCTATGATCTTCTTAAGAATTAGCGGTCAACGTGGCAGTGTAAACAGCAGTTACCGATGCCATTTAATACACCCGTAGTTCTTCGTTCGATCCTACGTCCTGGAAAATCAAGACTCCCATCACTTTGGGGTGGGTAGATTAGTACCAGACTTGTCTAGGAGGATTGAAAACACTGATTTCACATCGGTAAGCCTTGATATACCGTTGTGTAGACCGAATATCGGTGCAGTCCCTCCTGCGATGCTAAGAACGGAATCGAATGGTGGTCAATCCCGTGACAACATAGAATGATTTGTCCTTCTATTATTTACTTACTCTTCATGCTACCTAAAAGTGATTGCAGATTCACAATCGTATGTTCTCAACTTCCATGGACGAGTAACACAAGCCTCGGTAAAGAACTTTCAGATCATCCACGGCCGTGACCGTAAGTTTATTTCATTGTTGTTCGCTTGTGATATAAAAATTCTTGTTGCACTCCTATTGCGATAGGATCCAAAAAAATGTGACCGTGATAAAAATGTTGCACAACCGCATTCAAAAAGCTAGTTTTAAAAATAGAGGAAAAACAAGATAGCATTCTCTCATCACCTGTCGTACCTTTCTTTGGTCGTCGTGCGATTCAAGCGGGTGCTACTGAAGCTTATATCTTTCCCTGTTGCATACAATAGTAGTGCGCGTTCTGCTCGCTTAAAAGACTCCTTGAGCATTATGTCTTTTTTCTGGAGTTTTCGTGAAAAACTCTGACCATCGGATCGGTGTTTTTTCTGTAATACGTTCGAGAGCCCGAGAAATCCAGTCACTAGTGGTTGTTGCCTACCGGTTGTCGTTTATACGCATAATTTGTCCGGCCTATCTTATCCTCGACCAGTTTGGACTCTTCCTCCTACTCAACTCTGAAGCTAAGTGGTTCACCATGTTGATTTTCCAACCTAGATAGACGTAGCTGGAACATTAGCAAATACTCATACCGTTGACCATGAATGTGGCATAGAAACGACACATGTCCATTCAAACGCATTACGTGTCTGGCCCACCTGATCTTCGACTGTTTGACGTACAGAACGGCATCTTTGATTTCTGATCGTTGACGCAGGTCGGAGTTCCGGATCCCTTCCCTTACTTGCGTAACGCGGGATACACCTAGCATCCTCCTTTCGACTGCGCGTTCAATAACGCTACGTGATTTTTCATTCTATTTACGTAGCGACCAGGCTTCTCAAACGCAGGATGTACCGTTGAGTCGAAAAGACGGGCACGGAGTCGGGTGTTCTTTATTCTCCTCATTACTTCCTCGATGCTATTGAAGGCTCCCCAAGCTGCTCGTCTCCTCCTGCTAAATTTTGGAGCTAAGTCGTTCAACGTGTTGATTTCCTGACCTAGATAGACATAACTGGAGCATTCGGAGGTACTCGTTCCGTTGAACGTGAAAGGGGCATGCGAAACCAAACCGTTCCTCATGAACATCGTTTTTGTGAGATTCACTCCAAGACCAATCTTTCCACAGGTTTTATCAAAGTCGGCGAGCATACACGTTCCGCTTGGCTAATGTTTGTTGTTATAAGGAGGATGTCATCAGCAAAGCGAAGATGGTGTAATTGCCGATCATCGATTTTCACTCCCATGTTGTCCAATTCCAATGTTCGCATGACATTCTCGAGTGTGGTGGAGAATAATTTTGCCGAGATGGTATCTCCTTACCTAACCCCTCTTTTGACGTCGATGTTGTATCGTTGTAGAATGATGACAACTTGGATGTGAAATTTTTCTACAGCTCACATCAAGAGCTTCCATGACTGTTTCTATCTCATTTGAATCAATAGCCTTTCTTAAGCCGCTTAAATTGAGGCAGAACGGTCTGGTGTACTCTCGAGATACTTCAAGTGTTCTTATCTTGTGGATGTAGTCCATCGTACTAAATCGTTTTCGAAACACTGTTTGCTTACATGGCTGCCCGTCGTCCAGTGTTCTGCCGATCCTGTTTGGATAACTCAAGTGAAGAGTTTGTAGACGACAGACAGTAAGCAGGTTGTGTGATAGTTGGTGATAACGTGGAGGTCACCCTTCTTGCGCATTAGCATGGTCTTGCTGATCTTTCACGGAGTAGGGACTTTGCATTCAGACAGGTAACGTTTGAACAGCAGAGCTAATATGTTTACGAAGATTGGCGGAAGATTCCTCAGGTGTTCTACTCTTATCCTGTTTGGACCTGGTGCTGTTCGGTATTTCACCGACGAAATGGCATGCCCGATTTCGGAAGGGAGGTGCGGTAGTACAAAATATCCTTCCTCCTTCATTTCATATGACGGAAGGTGGACGTGGCTATCGAAGAGATCTGAGTAGTATTCATGAATGATTTCTTTCATTGCCTTTCTGGATGCTGTAACTGTTCCGTCTGGGCGTCGGAGTGCAATCATCTTGCTCTTGTAACTGGCGAAGCTTCAATGAGCTTTGCGAATGCTTTTCCCAGCCTCTACGGCTTCGATCGTTACTGCTGCTCTTTTCTCTTTAAGGTCTTCTTTCATGGCCTGTCTGGATTGTTTTGTAAGTTTGGGCGTCAGTTCGCGGTTGCCAGCAGCTCGTGCGATTCCACGCTGGCGTATCAGCTCCAGAGTTTCTGGAGACAGACGTCTCTTGGTGACTATCGAACTCTGAGCTTTCATAGCGCTAACACGAAGGTGCTGAATGAGCTGATCGTTTTCTCCGTCGATGTTATCGACAACAGCATGTTCCCAATAGCCCACGACTGAGTTGATTAGGCCCCAGTTTATGGTGGTTTTGGAACTTCGTCTTGAATTTCTCGCTTTTTTTCCTTTCTGCGGGAAACGAAATCTTGCACGACCGTGTAATTATTTGCGACAACAGCGAAATCGGCTAGGCAAAACCTTCTATTTATTATGATGTGGTCTATTTCGTTGCGGTACTCTCCATTGGGAGATTCCGAAGTCCAGCGTTCAGGGTGGCGCTTCTGGAATTGCGAGTTACCATGGATGTTCTTGGTGGTTATGATAAACTCAGAAAGCCACTCACCCTGTTCATTCCATGCTAACCCGTGAGTCTAAATGTGACGTTCTTCAGATGTCTTTCTTAGTCCAATCTTAGCGGCGAATTGTCCAATGATGACGTTAAAGAATGTATGGTCTTCTCTGTAGAACTTCTCTAAGTCTATATAGAACGCTTCGACTTCTTCTTCGCCATAGTTTGATGTCGACGCTTAAACGGCAAAGATCGTCAAAGCCGGCGTTGATCCACATTTCTTCAATCGTGAACGTCCGATTCGGGTTCGGATAAATCAATGTTAGTAAACAAACTGACGAGAACGCTGTTGCTGCCGACTCCTCTACTGTTCCATTTTCCGAAAAACGTTTCTTCTCCGGTGTCATAGACGGTGTTGAATGGGTGGCGTCTTCTCGTCTCGGTCAGGCCGATAACGTCATACCTTTTCGTTCTTGCTTGCATGACCGAGTTTTCTACCGAGGACTCAGATGAAGATGTGCATGCGTTGAAGGTTTAGATTGTCACCTCAGTTCTTTAAGATTTATGCAGTTTAGAATGGTGCAGAAGTTTCAGCGGCCTCTCCGCACTCGTCTTACCTAACTGCACCGAATCGAGGCCTTTTTCGGGGTAAGAAAGAATGGGGCCCGTTTCTTCTGATGTGGTTAGTTTTTTGATAATACTCACGCAGCTTACTCAGCTCTGAACGTGTGCGCTGGGCGTAGTCACGGGTAGCTTGCCAGTCTCTCGCAGTTTAGATTGGACGCGACTTCTACCCGTCTCTCACATACTTGTTTATCGCTTCTTTGAAGGGTTTTGGCTAAATTGACTTGTAGAATATAATCCGCAAAAGCCAGGACACACCCACTTAAGCATGCATATCAGCTGAGGTAAATATATCAGCTTTCTCGTAAACACGCAAGGTGTGTGCCAAATCGGCGCAGTAGAAGCAGCGAGTTCGTCCTTTAAATCTATTTGTTTCCCATAGAAGTAATGGTGCTTTTGGTCTATGATTATCTCCCTATCCACCACATGGGGTTGCGCCACGTTGCCTCGCAACTAACCAGCACGAGGTTCCTCTACGAGGGAGATCCTTGCTCAGAAAAAGATGCGATTGATAGAATTGATAAATGTGGTGAAAATAACTATATAAAAAAAATTCTAGCTTTGTTGGCCGAAGAGGTAGTAAATTTTCGTATAATGAATGGACTACATGAAAGGTGAAATTGAAATAGTTAATATATGCAATAATGATCAGATCATTTCTCTTTAATAGAGAGAAATTTGGACATGTAAATTTATTCCAAGCGTTCTATGCTTTGCTGCTAGCTTTGTAGTTTTTATATGTCTATCTATTTTCATTTACTATACGGCACACTGTTGGACCTCTTTCAAAGCATGACTCGCCTCCATAAAAGACTCGTAGGCCCTTATTCATTAGCACTTTCACTCAATTTTAGCTCTTAGAAAATACAATTGTAAGGTCTTTCACAAATTAAATTCGGACTCCAAGCTGTTTTTTTGAGGTGGCATATCCAGCTTAGAGTAAATATCAATCGAATGACAGCTATTGGAATCTATACGCCTGTGCCAACAAGTTTACTCAAACCGACCTCATAAAATTGCGAACTTCTGCACATGTTGTAGTCATTGAAGGCAGTTTTGACTTTGGCTTTGCTTTTGAAGCATTTCTCAAACAAGAACTTGTCGAGATGTTCGAAAAATGACAATCAGTAGCCGAGAGGTCTGTTGAGTCTCGTGGGTGAGGGTGAGTTTCATATCCCCAGTTGTTCAATTTTGCTGTGTCGGTAGAGTAAGGTGCTGCCACGCGCTATCGCAGATAAGGACTAGTTCCTTTCCGTTTACAACTAGGGCACATGTGTTGAAGTTTCTGATGCGTTTCGTCGATTTTCTGCAAGAAATCTTACGAAATTTCACACCATAATCGTGCCATCTCGATTCATGGGTCTTATTTTGATGGGGTTTATGCTTTGAGATGAGCTGCACAGTTTCATCAAATATTTCTAGCCCACCAAGGGTGCGCGCGACCAAACAGCACACATGTAATAGAGTCATTCAATGCTTCTTCTCTCTATACAAACTTATCGAATGACTCCGCAATGTAAGCCTTTCTCGAGCTGCTCGTAGAACCCGAAAAGAAAGTAAAAATGTACGGCTTGTCGATTGCGCAACTAATGACTCTCTTGAAGCAGTGTCTTAGGTGTTCAATCTTTAGGTGGTCTGGAAAACATTTTCACAAATTAGAGGGTTGACCATGAAACCAAGCTTTGCCATCGCTTTCATCCCTAAGATCGAAACCCTAGTTCTCGATCGCCGACCCTTTACTGTCGATACGTAGACTACTACTTCATCGTCTGTTCCACACAGGAACAGATGGATGAGTGCTTTAGATTGTTAAACAGATAGTCAGAGTATATCAAATTCACACAAGAAAAGCCAACCGAGAACTGGTTTTCATTTTTAAACATTCGAATAAGGCCCTCAAAAAGTGGCTATAAAACAAAATGATACCGTAAGCCAAGTAGTAAAAATATACTCGCCCAGTCCCTCTTCTCTCATCCTTCGCACATGAAAAAAGCAAACAAGTATCGAACGGCTGAAAATATGTGCACAGGAAAAGAGGAAAGGAAGGAATAGCAATGGCACGAAAAATAGCCATTTCCAATGGCTACGAAGTAAAGCCCTCTCGGGTTAAAATAGGGTAGTCCCCAAAATAATGTTTCAGAAGTAAATAAGATCCCTTTTAAGCTACCCCTCACATCAAATGAGATAAGTTACGCCACTAAGAGATGCTTAAGAAAAAGTGGTCTTGAAAATCATGTACTGCAGCTCAGAAAACGCATGATTTGTCCTAACGGGAGAGACGGGGATTGCATGAGCTCTGGTACAAGGTACTTGATCTCATGTAAGGCATGCGGTGAGGAATATATTGAGGAAACGAGTAGACCGCTTTATGTGTGCATAGAAGAACATCTAGGCGGGAAAGTTAAAATTCTTCAAAGCACTCCTCTCGGTACACAAGGGCACGAAAGCACAACGGCAATGATTTTGAAGTAACTGTCCGAATCCTAGCGCAGGAATTAAGAACATCAACGCACAAAACTCTCGAGGCTTTCGTATAAATTTCAAAAACCCAAAGATAAACCTGAAAGACGAATACCTCACTATCACACGTGACCTGGCGCCTTATTTCAAAATTATATTTTGACCCTTGGCTGTGTCTCGCTCGCCGTCTTACGTGAACAACACGCAGGCGTTCCCATTCGTAACAGCATAGCTCTGAGGAAAGTGAAGTCGCCGAAACGTCAGCAATCGACTAACAACGGCAATAACGACAACGAAAACCTATACCAACCTCGCATCTGCTCCAAAAGATCAGTTTATAAGATCGTATATCGTATGAATAAACTAATTATGCCGAGGTTTATGGAAAGTCGATCTTTTGAGTCGTAAAACTAAAAGTCCGGCATTGATTTTCGAAAAACCTAGCACTGCAAATAAGGTAGGTATAGCGGTTAGTGATGCCGTCGATCAGCAAGCAAAGAATCTGGTTCGATTCTCTCCTGAACGCTTCCCTCCAATCCACACAGGCCCGCCTTAGCCTATCTCTGATATTACAAGGACGAATGGATCGACGAGCATACTACAACGTTCGTGAACAAGATGAAATCCTCGAGCACTAGCTGAAACAAGACGCGAAGTGTTCGAAGAACACTGCGGATGCTCGATGTGAGGTAACGAATCAATGCAATGCAAGGATCCACACTGTAGATGTTATGAAGGGTTGTGCAAAAAGTAAGCTGCAAAAAAGTACTGTAAATAGCACAAATTTTAGAACAGAGGCACGGATAATACTGCTGCAGTGATTATGTTAAGTACGTGCAAGGTCCTGCTTCATCCCAGCACCAATGAGCACCAGACCTCTATTGGCCTTGATTTACAAGAAATGAATAAAATGAAGGGAGTACTTGAATACGTGCAATATAGGGCGGCGAGTCAAATAGAAATTGAGAAAAAAAGTTATTGGACAGAAAATGTAACTAATGAAATGTCTATAACAATGCTCCACAATCTATAACAGTGCGTTCAGTCCACAAAGTATTTAGTATATACCTAAGCACGATCGTGAAATAAGAAGTCTCGTATATTAAAAGGAAGTCGCCCTACAATATACAATCCGCTCAGTCCACTTGGTTTCTAATAAGCATAGAGAATGGAAATGAGTTCACACGGGAAGGCAAAACATATGCTCTCTTTTCTTTTGCTAATTTTTTTCCTTGCCTGATCACATATTCTGTAGTTTTTCCGCGTTTGCGGTAGATTTTTTCGAATTGTTCTTTTTAAGTTGCAATGGAGCAATAGCTAATGAATCGAGAGCAGCTTAATGGTCTCATATTACAGCCGACTACATCGTTATGCAATTCGGTCGCATCTCAAACGAATGCTTTTCGATGGATTTTCGTTATCCACTTAGTGCACTTCAAGCGTTCGGCATCGCCATGACGAGTTTCCATGGAAAACTTGCCTGCGAATAAAATGACTGGCCGACGAACTAACGAGCGGACCGCTGAAGGTGCTGTGAAACAGAGTGCTTAAAAACCGAAAATGAAAAGAAAATGAAGAAATGTAGTTTTCCACGATCGAACATATAAATCACAGACTAGAGAGAAATTTTTGACGCGATTTGCAAAAGCTGGTTTTAGTGCTAATAAACTTAAAAAACAAAATACGATATTTGCATCGAGTTATAGTGAGCTAAAGAAATGAAATAGTAGTTTTTAGCGCGTGAGCTTCCAGATAAGGTAATCGCGGGTTTGAAGTCCAACTGAGATTCCGAGTTTACCTCATATCTCAGCATCCTTGTGGTTGTACTTCATGTCATACCATGAAAAAAGAAAAGGCAATGAATAAAAAGTTGAAACATAGTTAGTTATGTCAACCTTTCATTTGCTGCCTGCTGTAATTTTCCATGGAAGAGTGTGACGTGAAGTACAACCGCAATGATGCTGAGATATTCACAAAACTTGGACCCTAGGTCAGATCGAAGCACGATTACACTTTCCGGGGTCTGGTGTAATACACACTGCTCCACTGAAGCCCTTGCTTTGCGTTTCTCTCAACCAGTTTTCTACCTAATGCCGCCATCAGAAATCACACCTCCGCAAATGGTAATAGTGGTGCGATCTCACCGGGGTCGAAGTTTTGCGAATATCTCAGCATCGCTGCGATTGTTATTTATTTCTGGCGACTGACATAAATGCACGATTTGCCTAATCGATAGTGCTTCGATTTCAGGCACAGAGGAAACGTGTCGTGAGCTCATTGTTCGTTATTTCACATCGTCAAATCTCAAACACGTCATATGGATGATTCGTCGTTCTTTTGGCCATCATCTTACCTCACCCAATTCACCCACAAACCCAATTACGGGCCGGACTCAAATATCATGATTATTCTCTTACAGTTCACCTTTACTAGTAAAACATGCATTATGAACTCTAAGGGCAAATTTCACTAACATGCAAAGAAGTCATCTTCACCTGAACTGTTTTGAATAACAAGGAATGTTGATAACTGAGATTCAAACTGTAAGACATGTTCTTTTGATGACTCAGTGACATCGTCGCACAAATGGGTTGACTTCCACATATCACTCAAACTTTAACCCACAACGCCGCGCTACCGTATTTCGCGATTGAGACCAGCCGACCACGAGCAATTTCTCGTCATCTACGGAGTTTCTGCTTTTTTGACAATAAGGAAGGATGAAAAGGATAAGAAAGCTCTCGGCGTTGATCAATCTCTGAGGTATGCGCCATGAAGTCGACTTCATTGAGCATTGTTAAAGGTGATTGAATGTGCATATTTGGCCCATTCAATGACTCGTGGTGCCCCACTGATGTATTTAGTAAGTGCTTCTACCTTCCTAGAGAAGTGTGGTACCGGTTTGCTGACCCCGGAGATATGCAGCACTTGCTGAGCCTGCGACGCGGAATCGATCCCATGTGTGTCGAAGCGCAATTCTAATCACTGCGCTACACTAGCCTCTTTTGACCATAAAAATGTTTCTTCAGTAACTGCTTTAGGGATTACGGATATTTCAGAAAAGACTATGTTCTGTGGGTATGAATGATATGAATGCTACTAGCTACTTTTTATTACTATAGTCCATTATGCAAATGAATTGCTATCGATACACGGAAGTATTCTGCAAATATTTTAAACCTATTTCGATGTTTCTTGTATGTGAACATTCTACACAATGAGCATAGTGATTAAAATGAAACGACGGTTTTTTGTTATTCAAACAATCGATCGATGAACTTTTTCGAGAAAAGGATTTTTGCAAATCGTAAAGTGAGAGCTGCTTTTCTGATCTCACCCCTTCCCGTATGGATGGCTTTGAATAAGCTATCAAGCGAGTATACCTATTCAGACTAAAGCAAAAGCTCAGAAACCCACTGGTCTGAATATAGGAACTACAGCGAGCCCTTTGGTCCTTTGGTCTAGTTTGCTATAGACACCATATTGCCCTTAGAAAGGGTTATGAGCTAAAAAAATCCGTCTTGTTGAACAAAAATCAGTCTAGCATTTCCTTGTGAAGAATAGCGGCCAAGCGCTTACGATTCTATCAGTTCGCCTAATTTTTTAAACTGTTCAGTAAGAAGTACCACTATAAATATTTCACAGCTGAGCTTTTTTTTTTAACCTTTCCTACTTTCCCTTAAACTTAATCTATTTTTTCCATTCATTTAATCGTTTGTTCCTACAGAACTTTGTAATTTTAAAACACTTCTTTGTCTCTGTGTAGATAGTGCTTTTAACCGTCTCTTAGTCAGAACGGGATATTTTTAAAGTGAACTGCAGAGCGCAGGGCTCTTCTTAACAAATTATTATCTTAAAAGAATACAAATAAAGATCACCAAAATCTTGAAAAAATGCAAAGATATTGTGAATGCCATTGTGTACGAACGTAAACATTTCCAATGGCTTTGAAGAATTCTGGTGACGCTCAATACTCTTTAATCAATATTAAAGAGTGGTGTTGATATAGCGACGTTAATCCCGAAGGCAAAAGACAGTATGTTACATCATTTCATCGAACATTTCAAGAAATAATGCGAAATGATGAACTCAAAAATTAACCCGTACCAGAAGGTAACCATTTTTCCAATACACAAGCACGCCATAGAGATTCTTGGCCAAATTACTAGATCACATACACCCGATTCTTAAGACTTTTCCACACAAAGACCATTCTTGTAGAAAATGCCCATGAATACATAGCTTACCTGTCTCTTATTCGTTGCCAAGTGCCTCAAACAGCGGCCGGAAAAGTCCTCATTTTTCTCTGTCGTGTGCCATAGTAGCCGTAATGGATTGAGTTCTTCACAATTCCCCTGATCATCAAATTTTTCTTTTAGTATCTGCGTGAATATGGGAGCGTGTGGAGCAGTGGTCGGAGGCGTCCTGCAACATACACGTGGAATCCATTTCCGCTCCTATGGCCCACCAAGCCATCCATTCCTCCGGGCTTGGCAAATTGGTACCAGATTTGCCTGGGAAGGTAGCAGCATTGGCTCGATATATCGGTAGGCTACCGCGAGTTATTGTAAAGGCCAGATATGCTATTCAGTCACATCCAATGATGCTTAAGGAAATCGAATGCATGGCACATCCCTCAAGGATTGATCAGCACCGAGAGCTTTATCCTTTTAGCTTTATCTACGTAAAGAAATCTTAATGTTTGATTAATAGTTTTGCTTTTTCTGTGAGCTTAACTAACCGCTAACAGCTCTTGTGAGCCTTTCTTCTTAAAACAAGCTATTATAGAAATTCATACCAACTATGAGTTTAAAATATAGCTGAAAGTTTTCCTAGCAGAGCAGCTATTAATATTTTCCTGTATGTTACAATATCCAATCCAATATGGTTTGCCGCCTAATTGTGGCTGGGTGGTGTTCCTGAGTGTCGGGCTGCGATGTAAAGTGGGGGATTCATCCTCCAAACAGGGTCTCCCATGCTGAGGAGCAGTTCGGTGTTTCCATCAGGAAGCCCAGCTAAGAGCAAACCAATACCAGGATCCACCACCGTCCCGGCATGAAACTAGTCGCATAGTGGAAAATTCTCCTCTGACCCACAAGGGCGGGAGGTGTCTGTGGTGGTGACGACTTGGTGCAGACTTTGGCCAGGCTGACCTCGGGACACCAGGAAAGCATAATGGCTACACCACCAAAACTTCGAAGAATGGAGAATATGCTAGGGCCAGCACAACCAGTGTGGACGGGCCGTCCAATATCCATAAATACATTACAATATTAATGGCTATAATGTGAACAAAATGTGTTGCGCATTGGTGAATCTTTTTTTATCTTACACGACCCGTCATCACACTTACTGTACGGATCCCAGCACTTCCTGGTGTGGTGGTGAACGTGTCAGCTCCCGGAAAAGGTAATAGCGCGTTCGTTCCCCACTGCACACACCTGCGCTTTGGAGTATTGCAAATATCTCAGCATCTTTGAAGGTTTTAGAACATTTAGGATGTTTCGTCTGCCGCTTGGGGAATTTCTTCTTGTTTTGTGAATATCGTAGAATACTGCTAGAGTCGATTCTTCTTGCTATTTTAAAAATAGCCGAGCTAGGGTTTTCCTGTATGGATTGAAGGAGAGTGCTGTGGAAAAAGTCCAAGCAATATTTTGCTTCCTGATCGAGTGTATCACTAACCAGGCCAAGTCCTGTGGTAAAAAATAGCATTTATTTGCAGCTGTTCAAGTGCCGGAACCTTTCAGGTGGGGGTTTTATCGTTCGTTCCTACGAAGTCTGTGAAATCTTAAGCGATTTGTAGCTCTCGCTGCTATTCTTGTAGCCACTGTTGATGCTGTCGTATTGGTAATTTTCAACAAGGAGCAGACGAACGGCAGTCGAGTTTCCGCCACTTACTGCTTGCAGCTTTCTTTGTTACTCAGGTTGGTCGTACAGTTTTTTTGTGTTCAAGCAGGAAAACGTGTTGCTTAACGAGATGAACCAGTTCTATTGAACTGTTAGCACCTTATGTAGCAAATGTTACCGATTGCGAGAACACTATTACATTTAGTAGTTTACAAATTTCACAGACAAACAACAAGACGTTTTAGGTGAACACCGGCCGAAGACGATTGTAATCGTAACGAGCAGAAAAACAAAATCCTGTTCGTAATTTCTATTTATGTAATAAAATGATACGCTAGACACGATGTACAAAATGTGCACTGTTTTCAAGAAGTTCTCCGCAAAACTTTATCGATTTTTAAAGTTTTTTTTATTTGGCCCAAAATTTTTGCTCAGATTTCATTGCTACTGTTTTTGGTATTGTTTTTGTTTCTGTTTCTATTGTCGTTGTTGTTGTTATTGTTGTCGTTGCTTCTTCTTGAAGCAACATACGTAAATCAATACGAAACTTGCGCAACGCCTAAAGGATCACGAAATTTTAATAATTTGTCCTAAAAAAAAGCTTAAGCAATTTAAGCATTTTAACTTGTGCTAACACTGAGCG